AGAGGCGCTTATTTTATTTTTTTATTTTTATTTTTTATTTTTAAGAGAGTAGCAATGATTCAACTCTTTTGGTACACCTACGCAGTCCTGCTTATTTAATATAAATAATAGTAACGCAACGTACGAAACGAAAAATAATGAAAGAGATAAAAGAACGTTTGATTCGCGTAAAAAAATACTTGAAGATGCTTTCCGTAAAAAATATATCTACAACTAAGTCCGCAAGAATAATAAAGAACGAGAAAGTGCTCCGAGTGCCGCTTAAATTTTCTTAGTCGCAATGACATATACGAAATGCTCATTTGACAAAACTGAAATTATTTGTATTTCCTTATTTCGCACAGATTTTTCTCAAGATAACAGTACGCGCGTTTATTTTTCAACGCCAAAGTAATTATTTACTATTTACAAATTTCTCTCGGCTCCCCCGAGTCGAAGCTTCAACGCCCCTTGGGGCTGTTTAAATATTTTTCTGCCGACAAACAAAGCTCATTCTCAGCGCGCGATAAATGCTGCAGTTTCGTAGCAAAACAAATACAGTTCAATTATTGGACGAAGCTTCGACTCGTTACAATGACGCGTGGGAATGGAGTACGAAAAATATTTGGAAAATCCAAGAAACGCCTCAATGTTTCGACCGACACGATGTGCCATGAAGATTAATATCAAAAACGTCTCCCGACATCCGATACATTTGTTAATTCGTGTAAATGACTATATTAACACACGTGGATGAGAATGTTTTTCAAAACGATGTTAATTAACAATCTTGTCGCTTCGTTGTCTCCGCTCGTTATGCAAAAACGCCACGAGCAAAGAAAAAAAAAAAAACAAGCCGTTTAGAAAAAATGACTCGCGATCGACTGTACAAACGGACATTCGCAAGGTCCACGAGGATGATAACATACACATGCCAGAGCGGCTAACTTAAGTACTTTTTGGCTTAAACCCTGATCTCGGCGATCGACTAGTGCGCCCGCGCCCTCGGACGACATTAGCTTAAACAAAACACGTACCTATATACACATGTTATTGCGCAAACAAAAGTATATAAACTGCACTTTCCGACTCATCGGTATACCACACGCACATGTACACACACACACACGCGCGCGCATTATTTTATCCACAAAATAGAAAACACACCGAGTGTCGATTGCGCACCCCAACAATGTACTAAAAACAGACGAATCGCCGGCTATGTACAATCGCTTGCATAATATATACGCTCTGTCATGGAAAGTACTTTAGCTAATACTAACACAAGGATCCTACACACCTCCTTTAGCTGCAGGGAAAAATCTCGCGCACAATGTACAAGTTGGCTAGAAAAAAAAAAAAAAAAAAAAAAAAAATGCACTTTGTGGCTCCTAGCAGCACTCGTCGGTCGAGGTGCTGGACAGTTGGGTGCTCGCGCCCGAGCTGAAGCTGCTCCGGCAGGTCTCGACGGCCAAGGCGGTCTCGGGCACCTGGACGAACTGTACCTTCTCCTTGGGCCAGCGGTTCCGCCCGTACATGCAATTGAATATGCTGTATCTCGCGTTGTTGTTGTTGTTGTTGTTGTTGTTGTTGCCCTCGTTGGCCTCCCCGACCACCAACTGGCCGAGTATCGTGGGCCCGCTGTACCTGCGCCTCAGCACCTTCTTGGCCATCAAGCTGCGGTTGTTCTTGTACGACAGCTCGCGCTTGAAGCAAAAGAAACGCCGCAGCTCGCGCTTGACCCGCCGCGACCTGTACCCAAAGAGCAACGGCGTCACGTACGTCGCCACCACCAGGAACCCCAAGGCCAACGACTCCAGACCCACAGTGGACGGAGGCTCCCAATCCTCCTCCATCACCGTAGGGGTGACGTTTCGCGCCAACAACAGGTACACGTAGGGCGTCCAACAGATCAGGCCCATCACCACCACGAGGGCGCTTATCCGCGCCGCCCTCGTCTCCTCCCTATACTTGAACAACGACCCGTTGCTTATCTTGTACTTGAGGTTGTTTATGTACCCTTGGTGGTGGTTATTGTTGCCCTTGGTGGCAACTCGGTGGACCGTCGTCACCATCGTGGTCGCCGACACCGCAGTCGCCACGATCTTCTGGCCCGGGGGCGTGACCGTCACTATGGGCAGTGGCGCGTGGCTCGGCGACGAACCCACCCCGGACTCGTCGTCGGCCTCATCGTCCCCCCCGAGGTCGAAGTTGACGCTGTTGGAGCGCGTGTTCCGCGAACCGGGCACCTCGGTCCTCGACAACGGCACGGCTTCCTCCCCGTCGCTCGAGTCCTCGTACTCGTAGGGCTGCTCGTGGCCCCGTCCCGTCTCCTCCTCGTACATGAGATCGTGGGAGGACTTTCTCCTGTGGTCGGCCACCTCGGGGAAGCGGCTGACCGTGGGGGCCCCTTGTTGGTCCTCGGTGGCGAGGAACTCGGCTCTGAGCGCGGCCGTAGGAACTTTGGGGGTGTCTTTGGCATCGTCGGCCGTGACCCTGCTCGTGCCCATCGTGAAGACGACAGGCTCGCTGTTCTCGTCGATGGACGACAGGGACGAGATTTTAGGGAGCCGGCGTTGCGGGCAGCCGTTGTCCTCTAAGGGGGGGCTGCCCTCGTCGCTGAAGCTGCCCGAGGAGAGGACGGGCCGGGAGCCGTTGCGCCGGGTGCGCTCCGAGTTGTTCCTGGCCGCGCGGTAGATGCTCGCGTAGATCCAGCATACGGCGAGGAAGGGCACGAGGTAGCCGATCAACGCGTAAGCCAGAGCGTAGGCGAGGCCGTAGGTCACGGGTGTCGTTGGTGGGGGGGTGTTGGGGTCACGGCCGGAGCAGAGGCGCGAGAGGCTGCGTGGCTTGGGGTTGAGGGTGGCCAGGGTGGCGAAGGCGAGGGCGAGGAACCAGACGGCGAGGATGAGCAGGCCGCACTTGAGCTTGTCGATGCGGGTGCGGTAGCGGAGGGGGTCGACCACGGCTAGGTACTGGTCAACGCCTATCAGCAGGACCGAGAGGATGGAGGAGGTGGTCACGAGGGCGGCGCTGCCCTCGGAGATGGCGCAGAAACTCGGTGCCATGGCCTCGGGGAAGCTTCGGTCCGAGACGCCGCTGCTGCTCAGGATGAGGAGGCTCGACAGCACCACGATGGCCAGGAGGTTCGAGCCGATCAGGTTCATCACGAATCTGCAATAGAGAGACAAAAACGGAGTTTGTTTACTTTACGTGTATATACAGGCGTGCGTGACGTGGTTGATTGGTGGTGCGGGGGGGGGTTGAAGATATTTATATACTAGGTGGTTTTTCCCAACCTCTTGAAGCGCGCGTGTGTTTTTGTGGCCTCATTGTCTCGAGGAAAAGTGCGGCTAAAAGAGGGGCGGGGTTGCTTTCCCGAGCCAGAGAACCCATTAGCGAGCGAGTGTGCCTTCGATCAACGATCCTTCGAAGCTACACTCTACAAATACGTTGTATGAGTTTCCCCCCCCCCTCCTCCACACCCTAATCACTCCGGGATTACGCGCGGCTATTTTTAAGAGCCGCAATGGTTTTTTATGTATCGAACCAACCCCCTGCGTGGGAATTCCGCGCACGTATGAACCCAAGGGACGGCTAGACGCTGCCCCTCCCACACGCATCTAACTTTGGACGCGCGCCTGCCTCTCCGTACGTCACTTTATTCGTCTTCTCCTGCCCGCTTTGGTCAATTTCGCTCTTTCAAGCGGTTGACGCGACTTTTCCCTTTCTTTTTTCCCTTCTAATCACTGTGGCCGTGTTGGGCGCGAGAGCGATCCGATCCCAGTTGTTTTGTGACTATATGTTTTGTTATTCAACTTGCACACCACGCCACCCAAAGAGATAAAACAAAAAAAATGTTTGCGTTAGTGAAACGCAACGTTCGATAATCTTCGGTTGAAACGGCAAACGATACAAAAATAATTCAATTACAGATAATTAGAAANCCCGCGTATTTACCCTGGCGAGCTTTTCGGGTGGCGCGCGCCTTTTGAACCCGGGATGCCTATACTGTATACTTTGCTTCGTCTCCTTTTCTGCGACTTCCTGCCCTTCCGTAACAATGGGTTCGTCAATATATAGCTAAAAAAAAAAAAAAAAAAAAAAAAAGAAATTGTATTAATCAAAACGGATATATGTGCGCAACATAGGGTCACCGCAAAAGAAAACCCCGTATATTGTACGTATGATATTATCTTGTATTGTAAATAGAAGCGCTCAAGATGATCACTTTTTTTTAGAAATACCCGCGAAACGAGACACGTGATCGGATTTTAATTGATTATAATTAAAACTGGACATTGTAAGCGTTTATTTTATTGTTGTTTGTTTGTTTGTTTTTTTTTTTTTTTCGGCGAGCCTAATCGTCAATGTTAAAAGACACACTCGGTATCACTGTTATCGCCAATCGGTGCCATTAAGTGCCCAAAACAGTTTTTCAACGTTACCAACTGGGGTGCCTATTTTTAACACCTGTATTTATCTTTCTCCCGAGAGACAGTAATAATCTCATGTTTATCGGGACGTTTTCTATTTTAACGTTTTAAAAACACGAAAACAGATACATTCGCGCACGGAAGAATATAATATACAGCGCGTGGGTCCCGAGAGCTGATCACCCGTTTCCGCGAACGATAATTTGTCTTGTTATTCGCGCCCAATGACAAGTAGGTTGCGTGTGGCACGGAAAACAAGAAAATTCATACAGCTTCCTGGGGCGCAAATCAACGTTCAACTTGACGCCACTACCAAGGGGGGGGGGGCGAAAGAAAGAGACAATTAGACTCGCCTTATTTTCCCGGAAGTCCCGCAGTTATGGCAATAAAGACCCGCACCGAGTACATCTTTTCACCCTATTTGTAACGAGAGAAAAGACAATCAATTTTCTCTCGAAGGACGAGACTCTCCTCGAGATTTATGGCAATGCAACGATGAAAACGTGTCTATTCCACTCTTCCTTTTGTTTTTGTAATGCACACTTTCGAGTTATTTTTATTTTTTTTTTTTCATGTTCTCGTTTCTGGTAGGAATTTGGGCTCTAGTTTTCTGACAAAATTTTTTTTTTGTTCATTAAATATACGTGTAAAATCATAAGACCCGATGCGAAATCTCAGAAGCGACGTGTAGCAGGTGCGAGTGTATATACGAGGGCGCGCAGTTGCGGCTTTGTTTGAGGAATTCGCGCGACCGCGGGATCGTTTTTCCGAGTCAAAAGTGAGCGCGTGGCTCTTTTTTGTCCCGCGTGGCACGCGCGTTGTGTGAAAAATACAAAAGGTCATATGTTTGTAATAACATCGTTAGCTCTTTGTGCGCAACTTGGGCGTTAGTCAACAAACATAATACACACTCTCTTGTGCATACATGCATGTATATATACATTCATACTTATTGTGTGCACAAATTATATTTTTTCAGCGGCACTTGCCTCTCGTTGAATAATCGTACGCGAGTCCACCAGGGGAATAAACGTTTATTGAATTTTCTTGTACGTTGAGAAAGAAAAAAAAAAATCTACCATGGCTAATAAAATTTACCGTTTTATCAAGCTCACCGCGCGTGTTTGTGCTGGTTATTTTATCATAAACATTATTTCAAGCGGTTACTTTATAGCGATGATAATAACAATGACGCGTGAATAATTAAAGAAAAGCCAAGCCCGCGAATGTCTCTGCGAATGAGATTTTAATTGGTTTCGAGTGAAAAAAATCAACCGGCGCGCGATAATGTGTGTGTGGTCGTTTGCAGCCTACATCGACCCATTGTATTATGGAAATAAGTATCTCACACTTTTATGCGACTGATATTATTATACCCGTTTGCGTTTGATGCACGTATGCATTTATTCATGATAAAATATAATTTGATTTTACCCCACCGTGTATATAATATTATAGTCTTGACATACTTGTAGATTTTATTTGCAAATTAAATAAAAAATAATGTAACTGTCGGTGTATAATCGTGGAATCAATGCCGGGTACGCGGTGTTCAGCGCTACTCTACATTTTACTATTCATTAATTTATTATACCTGTATTGCTTAATTGGGAGAATTGATGCTTCGAAGGATGCGATAAAAAATAAAATCCAGCAGCTTATCAGTGCTGATTTTTTTTGCCGTCAATTATTAACGATGACTTTCGCGTATTAAAAATATTAAAGTTTTTTCCAGAGAGATAACACATTTAATAATTTATTCAGTACTTTTTCTCTTAGTTTTATAAATAATTACTTTTTTTTAGTCATTACGCGGTCTGCAAATCAGAAAATCATCCAGTGAATAATCAAATTAAAATAATGTCATTCGAGATCTCGAAAAATTATGTTTAAAGTTATAAAATAATGTCGAAGCAAAAATATGATTTATAAATAACACTTTGAGTAAATCGTATGCTTCACTACAAAAATATACATTCTAAATAAACTTTTTTTTTCTCTGACAATGACTTTACGTTGATACAAGTGACCCTTGTACAAAAATAGAAGAAAAAAAAAAAGAATTTAATACATAAAATAACTCTGAACAAAGTTTATACGTTTATTTATAAAAAGCAAGTAAAATATAAATGTACGTTTCACCAGAAAAAAAAAAGAATCTGATCTGCCGAAGAATTTCGTAAGGATGCAGTATCGCGTACCGATTATCGTCAACCATGCAATTTGCCAAGGCAAAAATTCCAGCACGCGCATTGATAAAAATTCGCACGACCTCGTAGCCGGCGGCGCGACTTGATTTCGTTAATTCTCCGAGTCGAATCTTCCCTACTCCTTTTCCAGACCGGCTAAATTAATAATAGGATGTGGCCCAAGATAAAAAAAAAAAAAAAAAAAAAATGAAGAGACGAGGAGTGCTCGTCTCCCTCCCCAACCTCGGATTGCATAATTTTCTCTCTCCACGATTTCCGAAAGTACCCACTTGTCCCACATATATATATATATATAAACTACACCGACATGTAATAAATCTACGACTCTTTAATTCTTTTCTCTACACTATATAATAATTTTACCGCTATACCATACAATTTAGAGTTTTTTCACCTTTATCACTATAATTGACACAATGTATAGTCTTTTGCGGCAGATCATCTTTATTTTGCATGTATTGTTTTATTGTTGCCTTATACCCGATAACACAAATTATTGAACTGAAATTACTTATCAATTACTCGTTTTATACTCTCATTGTATACTTGGCGATGTATTTATATAATTATACTTTTGTTGCGCTTAAACTTACTTTCATTGTTACTTATACATACTAATCTGTTGTTTGCATTTATATGTATTTCCAACTAATTTCTTTTCAACGGCCGCTAGTTACACACACTGTTTGTATAAATTACCGTTAACTACTATGTAATTATTTTTGAGGCCATACGTGGTTTTACCACCTGGCCTAATTAAGACTTGTATCAATATCAAATAATTAAAAATCACGCCCCTGATTTGGATTTATAATCTAGAACGCGTTACCCATTGTATATTACACACACACAGTAGCCATAAGCCAGACAGATGTGGTTTTCGTAATCTCCACACCTTTTTTGTCTTTTTTGTTCTCGGACAAAACCACCGGCGAGCGGTTATTATTTTTTTTTTTTCGCGGTCACATTTCACTTTTTTCCCTCGCCAACCCACCCACGCGTCGAGAAATTGGGTCGCGTCACCGTATACCTTTTCTGCGGTGGAAGGAAAAAAAAAAAAAAAAATTCATGCCTGGGTAAGCAAACATTGGTGTTGAGTAACCCAACTGTTTATCAGTAGTCTTTGAAAAAAAAAAAAAAAAAAAAAAACCAGCAACCAACCTGTTGGAGATGGTCCTGAGACCCGGTCGTCTGATGAACGCGATGAGGAGCGTCGCGTTGAGCAGTATCGAGCCAAACAGCACGAGGCCGAGGCCGGCGACGCCTCTGTAGGCCCACCATCCTTCCAAACCTCCCAGGCTCGCAAAGGATTTGGCTCCAGCGTTTTTACCGCCATCCATTCATAAATGATTCCACGTCCCTGCAACCAAAGGAAATCATACCCGTGGTATTATAACACTTTGCATATAAAGATACGCGAAATCGTCGGCTGCACGGGAGCGACGCCGAGCAAATTATTGGGTATATAATGCAGACGGGGTGGGGACGAGGAACTGGATTTTCAACTTTTTTCTTCTACTTCTTCTTCTTCTTCTTCTCTAATACGCCGTTCTTTCGATCGGAGGTATTTTTTTTTGTTTTTGTTTTGTTGGAACACGAGAGTATACCGATGTTTCATTTATTTGTCAGTTTCGAGAATCGCGTTTGTTTGTCGAAACGTAATAACGAGCTGACGTCGCGTATAGTGTTCAGGGCCGTGTTTCGTCTAGGGTACAAGTACGGCCGTTAATTGATGCGAATGGAAAAAAAAAAAAAAAAAAAAATCAAGTCAGCGGTTCATGCATATACAACATATACGAGAGGCGAGGGGGGTGGGGGTATCTGGTTTCACGGATAAATGTTGACGCAATCGCAAATGGAGGGTATTTACATCTCGCTCGCGGCGTTTGTATCAAATGGATTTTGAGGCTCTTGGACGTGACTCGCGCGTCTCAAGATTAGCGCTTTCGTGAAAGCGATCCAGCCTCTCGAGAGGGGGACTCTTCAAGGAATCCGCGCGAACAAAAAGAGCCGATTCAGCGCGACGCGTGTGTATATATATTGTACATGCGCGTGTTGGGTGCATCGTACGAGTGACCGAATCATACACATGTTTTGTAAGCGTTCCCCCCCCCCTTTTTTTTTTTGTCTTCTTTCTCCAATCTCTCGTGTGTTGTTGGCTCGTCGCGAGCGAAAAACACCGGGTGTGCGTCATCCCGCGCAAATTCGCGAGTGTTTACATCTACGTATAATGGATATTAAGAACAAGAAAAAAAAAAAAAATCGGGCGCAGTGCACGCGTTAGTAAGTCTCAAGGTTCTCTCCGAGCGTGATTCAGGCGAGGGAAACAAAAAAAAAAAAAAAAAAAAACGAGGATGAGAAATCGGTAACGCACGTATATACAAATGTGCTTGTGATAAGGAAACTCGGGATTCCCGAATAAATCCCGCGATGCGCTATTTTGCACACACCGAAGGTTAATCAGTTGGGTAAATGTGAACAAAAAAAAAAAAAATGATCGACGGATTCTTAGACTTGGCGTAATCGGTATATGAATCGATAGGCGATAAGAGGGTCGTAGCCGGCGCTCGCAAATGCAGAGTAGAGAAAATCGTACCTGGTGATCGATGTCCGCTGATGGTATCGACACGTGAGATCGTAAATCACACGCGTCGACCGTGATAAAACGGATAATCAAAAAATGTGAGAGAAAAGACAACCAATGAAAAAAAAAACGCGCTCGAAGGAAATGTCGAATGGGGAAAGGCTGACTCTCGGAGAGATAAGCATACCTAGACACATACGCGATAAGTGTTTTTAACCACGAAGGCGAGGGATGATAACTAGAGCCGATCACATGTGTGCCACGGACAGATCGAGCTAGAGTCGATACGCACACTGAATGAAAAAATACGATACACGCGAGTCTATATGCGCGTGTACTCGAGGCACTGATGTTTCGGCGTTTCATTGGAATATCCACGCATCCAAAGCCCAATGAAAGATATAAATAACGAAAGATAATGCAAATCTTTCAGTGCCGCGGAAGCATTTCGATTACACCTGCTACACACCGATGTATGATCGACGTATATATGAGCTTTGGTTTGGTAAGAGCATCAACTGTGCATGCGTACGTGTATATGTAAAACAATTTAAAAATAGTCCACTCGCGTTTGGCGAAACAAACGATTGCGCAACGCGTAAAAATTTCACGTAACGCATACAATACTTGTATATATACGTACACGAAGCGATAAATATCCCAGTTAGCGCAACTCGAGATTTTCCTGTACGATTCGATAAACTGTACGTACATGTTATGTACCGATCGATCCTTGTATGAATAAGTGCACGTTTGTTTGCTCGCCGAATTCCCAGACGACCGAATCCAATGATGCGCGTTGAATGTGTTTTTTTCACCCCCCCCCCCAAAAAAAAAAATTGAATCACACCGACGGCACTCGTGGAAAAGAGGAAAAGAAACGGCGAGGTATACATCGGAAGCTCCGGTTAGCGCGGCAGACTGCGCGACGACTCTGCGTATATATACTCCCGTGATATTAATATACGGTCGGAGGGGGAAAAAAAAAAAGAAAAAAATTTGGCTTTGCAAAGGCACCGTTTCTGCAACTTGGTCCGGCATCGAATACGAAGCGACACACACCCGAAACGGAAGAGCGCCGGCCTCGGCTTACCATATGCAACGTTATTGTTGTAACCCGTTCGCGCGCGTGTATTTTCGTTGGACGAATTCGGCGATTGGTTGTTTTTTCAACAACGAGCGCGTGGGCGCGATTCTCGCGGGGCTGTCACCTTGCACTTGTCTCCCGGTGATCGGTAACGCCGCGCGGTGTAAAAATAATGCAANTTTTTTTTTTTTTTTACTTAATAATAAGTCGATTTTGCAGCCCGTTTTCCTGTGTTATGGAAATGCGCTCTTATTACTCCACTTGCTAAAACTAGATTGTCACTTTCGCCATCTGCTACTCGCTTAATTGCTAAGACATCTGAACTCTCTAAAGTGACCGTGCGTCTTGTTCATCTCCAGCTCTACAATTACCTAAAATCCAAGGAACTTTTGAATTCACATCAAACAGACTTTCGCCAAAAGCATAGCACTCAGACTGCACTTCTTCGCGTCTTAGATGATATCCGTGCCGCGATGGACAATAGTTACCTCGCTTTGTATGCGTTACAATAGGGTGGAGATCAAGAGTTAAACAATTTCGAATTGCACTTCGCTGGTTATCAGTATCAAGAAGCCGTGATTATTTTTTGGGTGTAGTCTCGTATTCTGTTCTGGCTCACAGATACCCCCCTTACCTAGCTAATAGTTATCTTATTGTTAGCTCTTATACTGACCTAAGGCGCTCGTCTCACCTTCAAGCGCAGTATCTGCTTTGCCTCACTTTCTAGTCAGAAGTGCTTGGATACTTTTTTCTTGTTCAGTCGTCAAAGCTCATGATTCAAATCCATCAAAATATTTTTGAATCGTTACTTATACATGGTTTTAAGCATGCCTTATTTAACATTCTTCTTATTCTTGGTAAAAATGACTGGAGTTTTGAATGCAGGTTATCCCCCAGGCTTTAACTGTTTTACGCTTTTTCCTTTTCTTGATCAACCATTGACACATTAAATCTTTAAACTCTACTCTGGATTCATATTCATATGAATTTAAACTAAAACATGGGACTTGACCATCTCTTTACTTAATTTGTTTGTTTTTTTTTGTTTTTATTTGGTTTTATTAAATTCGTATTCGATTTTGTACCTTCATTTTTGATTTCACTTTTATTTTTCATGCATTATTATTATACATGAATTAATTGACTCCTAATCTCAAACGTCAATTAATTTTTATGAATTAATTTGTATACTCTTGCGTTTTACATATTATACTCTGTGAAATTAAGATTTGAGACCACACGTTGTTAAACCACATGGTCTAATAAATGTTACTGATACTTATACTCCCTTCCCCCTGGCACAGTATCGCACTATCCCCACCTCTACCCTTTCCCACCACCATGTTGAGAGTAAGAAAGAGAGAGTTACTGCATGGAACCTTGTCTAATAGCACAAGAAGAAAGAAATACGAGTCGGGGAAAAAAATGAAAGGAGCTCGAATCGTTTGCACTTGTACGCGAGCATTCTTTTTTTTTTCTTTTCTCTTCTTCCATCAGTTTTGCTTCCACCCGAGTGGGTCAGCCAGCGCGAAAAGCTCTGAGGTCACCTTTTAAAAATAATCGCGGCCGGCCGCAGTGCACGTAAGCCGCGGGTGTCCCTCTTTTCTTCCAGCCTCTCTCTCTCTCTCTCTCTGATTTCTTTGCTCTGCTTTTCCTTTTGTGTTTCGGTGCGTTTGGAGGGATCGAGATGGAAAAAAAGAGTATACCCCCGGGACACTTGCCGTGAGGTGTGTCTGTTGTGTTACACGCCTAAAATTACACACAACACGCGTCGTTGCTGCGGCACGATGAAAAAAAAAAAAAAAAAGAAAGGGGTAGCAGAGGAAGTGTAACGGGGGCAAGGATATATGTTGTATATACACGTGACGGTATACAGTATAACGCAATATCCTCCGTGTGCTCTGTCCATCAAGGTGTACGCGTGGCTGTTCCCTCGTTTCGCTCCTCTTGCTTTTATTTTTCAAAGAGAGTGAAATATAGAGCAGAAGGATCGAGGTGATTTTCCTGGCTGTACGAAGAAGATGTTGTTTGCGAGGGGAAAAGAAAAAAAGTACACCTGTGAATTTAATTTTGCTCCTATATACCATCACTGCATAAAATATGTTTGGAGGCCAAGGGCTCGAGGTGAGGGAGTGGTATTGGGATCGGTAAATCAATTGGGATGGTGTTTATACTTTTTTTTTTCTTACATCCAAGCTATCGAGGGAAATCTTTGACGTTCGAAGGGGTTGCGAGTAGAGATTACTAGTTTTATCAACTCATCGATTCGTTTACGTAGTTTCCGGTCTTTATTTCCTATAACTCAGTAGTTGTCATGTACAAATGTCTTTAATCGTTTTAACTCGACGTATATTATATGAGTGATTATTTTATATGTCTAAGTAATATTGTTAATATTGAGTTTTAATTATATTTTTACAAAATGTTGGTAAAACAATACTGTTCGATATATTTTGCTTAAAAGGGAAAACTTTGCGACGCCAAACAGTTGTCCCTACGTTGTTGTGAGGCAACATATAAAAAGCATCGATCAGTGCGCAGCAGGAAAAAAAAAAAAAAAAAAAAAAAGAAATATCAGGAAAACTAAAAAAAGCATGTATAAAAGGAGCTTGTCTTTTATGCGCAAATCGGAGAGTCGTTGCCCTCTTTTTCTCGCAGGGAGATAGTTGCATACATAGCAGGGGAGAAAAAATAGCGAGACCGTAAAGTTCGTGGCGATAACGAAAGTAGCGCTACACGGCCGATGTCAAGGATGATCGTGTATATATAGGTACACCTCGCTCTTTGCGCTCGACTCGATATTTCATTATCAAACATATGAGCTGCTCTATCGAAACGGAGCGAAAAACTGTAGTGACCTTTTTTTTTTTTTTTCTTCGACAAGAGCGATATCGGTAATTGCGTTACGCTATTTTTTTTTTTTTTTTTTCACTCGTGGATTTCAATACCAGGCGCGGCGATTTCAAGAGTTTCGTAATTGTGGAAAATTTCGCCTAATATCTTAGGTTTCAATTACTCTTGTTGCGTAAAAAAATATACCAATGTACGAGTCCGGCACGTTTTTCTGTGTATACTGTCTCGTTCGGGTAACTGAACTTTTCGCGTCCGAGGAAGATCGCTAGTCCCAAGATACCTGTTGTTCCTTCATACTTTACATGAATCAAAGCACTGCCGATCTACGAGTACGAGGGAGATGTTAGTTTTTTGCAAACACGCGCGGGACTTACGATTTTTCCCAATAATCATCTTAATAAGTATCATCATCGACAGCTGCAACGGGCGTGTATCGCGAGGCGCCAACGCTGTACGTTATATAGACATAGCCAATCCGTAGGGAATGAGGTGACACATTCTCGTATAGTCGGTGTAACGTGATCATTGCGATGCGAAACGCGCATCACCACGTACGATCCTATATATATATATATATATATATGTATATGTATTCCCTCAGAAGAGGTATACGCCAATGACGATAGATAGTATATTTATAATAAGTATATTTTCGATTTTTTTCTCGTATGGGTGATGCAATTTTTTTTATCAAGCACGAAGTTATACGTCTCTTTGACATTTGTAGATTGGTATAGTAGTCTACATAGTTTTAATGACAATTCTTTTTTTTTTTTATCCGCAAATAGTGAATATATAGATTTGAGGGATTTGATCAAGTGTCTCTGGAAGTGTCCGAAGCGTTTCCGAAACGTATCTAACTTTAATTAATTATTGATGAAAAAAAGTTTTTTTTATTATTACAGCGGTGAAATAATTAATGAAAAATGCCTACTAAGTAATAATTAAAATTAAAAAAAAAAAAAAAAGTCAACCCGTTGATATCGGGTCTCGAAAATCTGAGGTAGCTTAATCGAGAGATAAGCATTCATGGTCTAAGTAGATGAGTCAGCTGGTACTTATACAAACTTCGTCTATAAAACGTACAACTGCCGTGTATTTTTGTGTTTTTCTTATTTACAGATGAATCAAAGAAATACAAATATTTTGTGAGGATGACAAAATAATTTATCATCATTTGCAAACATTTGTATCATTCACAAATAATACTTTCTCTAAAAAATGGGATTTTAAATTCAGTACTACTTTACCGTTAAGTTAACTGCCATATTAGATTTCATTAATAATATTTAGTCAGTAAATGATTTGAATTATAGTTTTGAATAAAAAAGATTACACAACATGGTACTTGTACCTTATATATATAAGTAAATTGTACATCAGATATCTCATCCCCTCTATCCAAGTGGCTAAGACGTTTGGCTTCCAATTTTGTTCTTTTTTTCAAACTTTTATCATACCTATTTATTTTTTATGTTCAAATTTTGGCTCGACATAATTTAACGTTGTTTAAATGTTTCTTAAACGTATACGGTTCTACGTGGGAGGATCCGAGCTATTTGTGATTATCATTCAATAGTACGTATAATATATACCGTAGTAGGTATTGTCCCCGTCGCAGTTGGAATTATCCACACGTAACGTGATATTGACGCCCCGAACTCGGGTCCCGATGGCGCCTGTATAATGATTAGGCACAATCGGAGCGAGCGATTAAAAGATACGAAAAAAAAAAAAAAAAAAAAAGACAGATACGAGAGTAAATACGTAACGTATACGATTGTAAAAAAAAAGTGGCGCGCCTCCCGATGTTTGAACTTGGGCTCCAGAGTCACTCGCATCAGCTGCTCGACGCGAATATGAATTACGACTCCCTCGGCTCGGAAATTATTAGTTTTGCTTGTGTTTGCACATGTGATCTATATATATATATATCATACACACTTGGGCTGTGATAGTGCTTGGGTGATGATATAGTGTAGCGATGATTGATTGCCTTTTCGATCGAGTGGTTTCGTAAGATCGCGAAATCGGTGTGACAAGGAAGCGATACGAGGGTACGCGTGTTTTTGCGAGTAACCGACATACCGATCATCTAAATATTATTGTTTTGTTTCGACATGCATCCCCTGCTCCAGGCCGCTTTTTTCGGTGACTCGACTGTTTTTTGGTCTCACCGATGCATCCCAATGGGTGAGCCGGACCGATCAATTTTCATTAAACGGCGCGCCGGCCGATTAATTTCCGAGCTTGGCTTGGCCGCCCGTAGGATTTTCGGCTCGGAAAAGCTCTTTCGCATCGAGAAACACACGAGCGCGTCGTAGAACTGCCGCGGTCGAAGGTCGCCGGTATGCAGCTGTACGTTTGACCCGTTACCGAGTGCCGATCGCTCAGTTTAATTTCATTTCATGCGCGGATTTTACCGGTTCACTCGGTCGAGCTTCGGCTTTGATAATTTTGCGATTGACAGGAAGAAACGTGGGCGCTTGAGTGGGTTGGAGGTGGAAAAATGTAATAGACTTTGGATAATGTTATTCGTTGATTTGCATAATTTCCTGATTCGGCGACGCTTGGCGTGTTCTAGAGATTTTTAATTTCATACTCGTCAACCGTTGTTTTACAAGCGTTGAAACTTTCGTTTGTATAAGCTCAACGAGTTTTGGCGTCCAAGTAACCGAGAAACCACATTGGAGTCGGATACAAATTTAGAAACGACAAAAGTGGAGACACCTGTGCTTTACACGAAAGTAAATAAAATCGAATACATTTTACTCTTTTCTTTTAGCATTAAAATTTCAAATGTACCGGATTTGTCGTCTCCTCGACGGAGAAAGTTTTAAATCGAACGCGATTTTATACTTTTGTGCAATTACGTAAAACCCTTGATCTCCATTTGTTTACACGGTAAACACAATCAAAGAAAGTGCCCAAGTATATATGGGTACACCAAAAATACTCGAAACGACGAAACCACCTAATTGTAAAACAAGTTGAAAAAAAAAAAAAAAAAAAAAAAAATGTAAGCTTTTTCAGTACCATAAGTATATAGGTATGACATTATTGTTGTACTCGTTCTTAATAAAAAAAAAAAAAAAAAAAAAAACGAATAACGACAAAATCTCGGATTTCACTCGCCCGACCCGTCCAAACTCGGATGATTAGATACGATCTCTCTTTGAAAAATTCCCACCTCTTCGACAGGCCCACTGGCGCGTTTCCCAAAAAACGCATAACTCGCCGTCCAACAACCTCGTTATACCTGCTTCGGCGTGGGTTGTTCAATCAAACTATTATTTTTCTGATTCATTTAAAGGGACCCCGAGCTGTGCCGAATGAAAATACTATACTTACAGCTTATCCCGTTCACCAAGCGAGAGACGCTGTGAAACTGCTAAACCTCGAGTCGAAGCTTTCCACGGCTCGCCCGATTCAAGCAGCCTCGCACCATCAAACAGCACAATTTGACAGACAAACAAACAAAAAAAAAACTTCCTCGCCGTATACGCGAGCGTGAGAAACTGTCGCGTCAAAGTGAGTATTTATATATATATTTCTCTTTCTCTTGAAAAGAGGAGGAAAAAAAAAACGTACACCGCACAGCCGGACAAACTGAGAGCACGACCGTCGCGGTACTCGCTCGCGCACGCAGTAATCGCCCGCAGAGCCAACGCCGACCAGCCAGCCGTGCAACGACCCAAGCCTCTCTCTCCTCGTCGCCGCCGCCAAAGTCCGTGTTAGTCGCCGGTGTGACGCTATACGACACACGCACACGTAGGCACGACCGAGCGGAGGTGTATTTGTGTGTACCCCTATATAGTGGTGGGAAGCAAGTGGTGGCGGCATCGATGCAATAAAACCGCCCGCAGCCGACTCTCCTTCTCGCACACGCCAGAGCTCATCCTCCCCCTCTTCTTCTTCTTCGATCTCTCGAGAGACAACTATACAAGTATATATACATATACGCGGCTGGCAGAGATAGAGCACTTCTTGTATATATATATATGCGGGAGGAGATTCTCGAGTTTCCCCCATCTATACGGCGATGGTTTACGGGGGAGGAGACAGCTGCGTCACGTCCGTATCGGGGGATTTTCGCTGGGGGGGGATTCACTTTGTACATCGTTTTGTTTTTAATATTAATTTGAATAAAATTTTCATGCATACTTAATATCAGGTCCGCAGGCGCCCCTGACGCTCGATCAATGTTTTTTGGAGCGCTCGGTTACTTATACCGATCGTTATCGTTTTGGAACAAAAAACGCTATCTCACGTTTGTTCGGAAAAACAAGAGCCATCCATGCTAGAGATGCTCTTTTTTTCTCTCAAGTCGAAATTGATAACCGTGATGAGTTTATTCGGGATGGTTTGTTTGTTTGTTTTGTTTTCACTGAATACAACGCGGTTGATAAGTTTCGTCTTTTTTTTTGTCTCTCTTATACCTTAAGTTAAGTAAGAAAGTACTGACCAAACGAAAAAAACCACTTTTTGGATATCATTACCCGCAGCAAAGTTCAATTTTTTTTTTTTATCGTATCGTAGGAATGCCAGCTAGTTAATTTTTAAACATAATTATTGATATCGATCGTACATAATGTGTCCACGCGTCGCATAAAAAGCAAAAAAATGTTAAACGAGTGTTAATTGCTTTTGAAACGGCCCCTTTTGTTCGAAAGTTATTAATTTTAAATTAATTTTTATTGAAAAAGCGAAAGCTTCGTTGTACTTCGTCAATGCCTTTTGAATTGGCTCCCTTTGTTCGGAAGTTATTAATATTAAATTAATATATATCGAAAAAGCGAAAGCTTCGTTGTACTTCGTCAATGCCTTTTGAATTGGCTCCCTTTGTTCGGAAGTTATTAATATTAAATTAATATATATCGAAAAAGCGAAAGCTTCGTTGTTTTTCGTCAACGCCTTCCCAAACGATTTCTTTATCGTACACTTTGATCTTTGCGGTGATATTTCGATCAAAGTCCACCTTCCACACCTCCTCGCGGCTCATTGGACGGATAGCCAAGACACACAGCAAACGCATAATCTCAAGTTCAAAAGTTTGCGTAACACACACCCGCCGATAGTCCCAATGTCCATATATATATATATACGCGCGGACACGCGTTACGCTTACATTATACATTCAGAGGCCGTGTGTATATACACTCACGCTCATTCACCGATGGAAATCAATGTAGCACAATCCAATTCTCACTTGGTATATTTCCTTCGGCCGTTAATCAATCACAAGTAGTTCCCGTATCCGAGAGCCCCCTCCCCCACCGAAAGGAAAAAAAGATCACGCATCAGGGGAAAAAAACTTGCATCAGGTGTAACCTCGCGCGCGTGTTTATATGTATACTTTGACAGGAAGCCATCGGGGACTCGCGCGCGAATAGGAAAAAAAGATCACGCATCAGGGGAAAAAAACTTGCATCAGGTGTAACCTCGCGCGCGTGTTTATATGTATACTTTGACAGGAAGCCATCGGGGACTCGCGCGCGAATAGGAAAAAAAAAAAAAAAAAAAAAAAAAAAAAACTAGTGGGCTGGGGAGCGGCGAGCGCGGAATTTTCCCTCAACGGCTACCATAATGAGCATACAGCGTGCAAAGAAAGAATGGAAAAACGAAGAAGCGACGAGGCTGAACTGGCGCTCTATGCGCTCGGGCAAATACGCGAGGGGATTTCCATTGAAGAAGCCGAGAGGTATACTTAATACTCGATCGATTCGAGCGCGCGTTTGAGGTGTCGCAGCCATATTACACGTGGTTAGGAATTTTTCCGTGGAGTATACGCATGTACTGTATAGTCTCCTCGCATGGGAAAACAGTGAAAAAAAAAGAAAAAAAGTGTTTGTCCCGCGAGACCGACCGATTTCTTGTATACGCACTTTTTACCGACTCGATAACTTTTTCACGGGTTATTCCCGCTACGAGAGCGACAAACTTCCATGTATATGTGCGATTCTGGACGCTCGTGTGCGCCAACGCAAATTCGAATATCGAATAGTGTGCCGATCGAGGAGCATTCTTTCATCGGACTCGCATATACATATATACATATATATATACCTTGCACTGCTCCTCGATGCGCATTTTTATATACAACTATACTTTTGCTTGATCGACACTAAGCTTCGTTGTTCTATTCTATTCTTTGTTGCCGATCTCTGTAGATTTGGCGTATGTATCGGTTCATTCTCAAGTGTACACAGAGTCAAAGTCGACTCCGATCGAAAACCAAATAAACACAATCGCCGCCCCCCGAGAGCAAAGAGGAAGAAGGTAATGAAGTTTCGAGTTTAGCGCCGATTTTGTTGAGGAAAAGTTTCTCGAACCAAAAGTTGTGCGGTAAACACACACGGGCGGGGGGGGGGGTTGGGGGGTATAAACTTCAGCGCGTATTTGTCGAACAGTGGCCCGCCACGCATTTCGATGCAGTCCAAACGAAAATACCCCGGCTCGGGAAAATTTCGTTAAATATATAAATATGTATACGGCCTTGGGGAGAAGCGAGGGATCGAAGGTCGAGGGAGCGCAGGGAAAGCGAGGACTCGTCCGCGAGGCTTGACCGACAAGTTTTCAAACCTCCCCCGAGACGATGCACATACGTGTAAGTCCGGTCCATTGAGGAAAGAGCGTCGATTGGCAGAGCGTCAAATTTTAAAAGCATCACTTGTCGACCGACGAGAGTGACGGGGCAGGTCGGGGATAAAGAGTTTCTGTGAATGGAGCCCACTGTGCTGTATTGTTGTTATTGCTGTTTCACACGTAGGTGGGTGTGTATGATGCGCGTACACGACCAAATGGTCGCCTTCCTTCGTTCCGCGATGCGTCGATTTTGTATTTTCGGACGGAGGCAAAACGTGCGTGTCCGCTTGATCGTTTTGATGCCTAATGTGGTGGATACTCGAAAATAGACTACACGCACATAGAGGAGAAGGATATATTTTTTATTTTTTTATTTTTATAAACACAGCGCCGACACTCGATAGTTCAAGCACCGGGGTAACACGCGTCATGGCGCTAAATTCGATCCATTGTGTTTTGAGTCGACGTATCGCGCGATAATATATAAATGCATTTATTATAAAAACGAGCCGGTCATTTGTATAATATCATACGTGTGTGCGTTGCTCTTCCGCCGATTGATGCGCGTAACGACTGTAACGAGAGCCGCTGCCGACGTAGGCGACGACAAAACAGGGGATATCGTGTCGGACACGTGTACCCGCCAAGAGTTATATGTATATAGTATTGCGTTTCCCAAGTGGACATGAGCATCCGATGCAAAGACAAACAGAGGAGGTGTAGCTAATCGCGACAATTGCTACTTTTACTGTATATTAGGTGCATATTGTAATGGTGCGCCAATGGGGTCTCGTCAAACGGCAGGACGGATTTTTCCGATTGTATACCCGGGGACAATCGGGGACGGGCTGTTTTAGCTCAGCACCTCTCTTTGACCGTTGCCACGCAATGACACAGCGTATGCACGACAACCGAACGCGCCAGCTCGATTTTTTTGTCCCTTCGGAAACGCGATTTCGATCACAATCACCGTAAGGTTCCGCTGCGGATGGAGAAATAGTCTTTTTTTTTTTTTTTTTTTTTTTCAACTTGAAAGGTAAACCTGACTGTTTGTTGGAACGTTCGAAACACGAGTCGTTAGTTTGGATATATTTTCGTTATCGGCTCTGAATTCGATGACCCGCGAGTTCACGGAATTCTCGTTAACCATCCGCATTTTTAACGTATAAAAACAGGTACAGATCGTCGATTTTAAAGTGAGCGTTGAAAAAAAAAAAATCACGTTGATGACGAACATGTTCCGCGTGTCGGTTAAAAGAGGAAAACAAGCTTGAATTTTTGTTAAATTATACAAACAACGTAAAATTATGCGTCCAGTGATAATTTATTGCGTGACAACTATTTTTTTTTTCCTGCAACAAATGGGCACTCTGTTTCCGTAAAGAAACACCGTTTGCGTCAATTTTCGTGGTACTGTTTTTTTTACCTACGATTATTGTAGCATTTAATGGCGTCGATTAGTACATCCATTAGTCCAATTTTTTGCTACATTCGTAAATTCGAACGTTAAAACATCGGCTAATCACCTTTTTTGTGAAGCGACACGTGTCGCTGTTGTGACAAATTAACGGATTTTCTATTCCAATTAAACAGTTGTTCTGTCGGAGGTAAAATCAACCTGTCACAACACGACCGAGAAAATCGGCTCCCAACTCTCAAAACAAACGTCCAAACGTCTCCGGTCGTTCACCGCTCGGAAAAATCCACCGAGGAAATAAATCAAAAATCATACCCAACTCACGTTAGTCAACCTCCAGATCGGATACTTTGGAGTAGCGTGAATCTCCATTATTAAAAAAGTGAAATTGTAAATACCAATACTCTAATTTGCCGATCGGTACTCCATAAAGACCCGATTGAGAACCGAAACTTTTTTTTTTTTTTTTTTTTTTCATCGGTACTCGTGACGCGAGCCGGTCATCAGCCGGGGACACGTTTGGGCCCATCATTCGCGTACGCGTACCAAAGAGCACTCGGGTCGCGTAAACAAGCCTCGCTTGCTGCAAATTTCGGGATTGACGCGTGGAATTAATTTCTTCTTCATCGTTTTTTTTTTTTTTTTTTTTTTCTTTCCGTGTTGCGTGAGTGACGCACAAACTTGGGTACCGTCGGGTGGACTGGAAACGTATACCGATCACGTCGCATACAAAGACAAAATGAGTAATTACCGCAGCTGGTCGATTTGCATTTGTTCAACGAAAAATTAATCATCCGCGGGAAAAAAAAAATCTCAGGCTAATTCGCGTATTTTCGTAAAAAAATTGGTCGGCGTCTGGTTTCATCGCGGGTTATACCACGGAACCCTCGACACCCGAATAACTTGAAATTTGCCTAACTACATCCGAACAGTCCGCTTCCACAAACGACCCGGACTCCACGGGCTTTCCACGAAAACAATGGAAAAGTCCATCAAGCGGTTGACTCCCCCTCGGAAAAAAAAAAAAAAAAAAAGAGGATCCATACGTCGACGGCCACTGC